TATTTATTTATTTATCATAAAATAATGTAAAATTTTAGAAAAAAATATAGTTTAAAAAAAAAAAAAGAACGATTGAATTTACTTTTTTGGATTGATTTTGAACTGATTCATTCAATTTTCAATTAATTCTTTTATACATTAATTTTATAGTTCTTTCAAACTGATAAACTGATCAATTCGACCGTCAAATCAACTAGTCTAATTTGATTTTAACAAGATATTAATAATTCGCAAAAATAATATTTATTAATATGTCATGGGTTATAGTTTATGTTAAAGATATCAATTTTGGTTGGATTCAAGTTAATCGAATTAATTAAGCAATGAATTGAAAAGGTAAGTGCTAAATACACTCTCCTACATTGTTAAATGTACCTCCTTTTGTAATCGTAGTATTTTTGTTTTTTTCTCAGGAAACTAATGTCTAGAGCAGAGTTTTGTCATAAGATTCCGAAAATTAGCTTCTGAAATGTATATAACACATTACATTTTGAAAACTCATTAGAGCTGATAGCACATTACGGGGCAGCTCTATATCCAGCACAGGTTACAGTGGATTGGGTTAATAAAACTTGAGTTATTCAATGTTTTAAATTGATGTTTTAGTATGACAGATCGACCCTATGTTCGTTTTGGCTAATTTTTACCTTTTTTTTTGTTGGTTTTATTATTTTCCAAATTTCAACTTAGATAAATAAAATATAAATAATTAATTTATTCTATTACTACATTTAAGCGATTAAAAATTGATAATAGAACAAAAAACCATAGGTTTTGTTGATTTGTAAGTATAGTCATCAATCTTAAAGGTGATCGAACATCTTATAAATGACTATTCAAGAATTCTTGTGATCAATAAGAAGTTATGAGAAGTGTCATAGAGTTTGAGATGTTAAATCTAGAGCGCTACAACATGAGTGTGATTTATATATGTTCCGGCCAAAGGGTGGACTAGGATTTTTTCCTAGATCGTGCCTTAGAGCCAGAACATTCAAAAGTGTAATCTGCCTCCTTAGCTCTAGGGTTTTAAGTTTTATAGTTTGTAGTTCGTGGGCCTTCTGGGCCCCGAGAATTTGGAGATTTCGTAACAGTTATTATATCAAAGATATTTAACAATCGAGAGGATATCGAGTCAGATGCTGACCGATCAGGTCTCGCCCATAGGGTATACTCGGTCGTTAACCGAGTAGTCTACGGCGGGTGAGAGATGTCGGGAATAAGCCGACAGATGTTATAAGGGGATACCCAGTCGGTCATCGGCCGAGTACATGTAGAAAGGGAGCTGTTCGGTCGGGGTGTGGTCGTCGTATCCCAAACCGAGAAGAATATGTATCGGTCGTTGACCGGGACATTACAATATATAATATTAGTTGCTTAATACATGCATTTACTTTTCATGAAAAATAAATACATGACCAAAATATAGAATCATAATAAATTAAGAATATAAAATAAAATTATTGATTAATAGATTTAAAACTTGACCTTTATTTTTTATAATTAGGATCAAAATTAACTCATTTTTTCTTCTTCTTATTATGTATAAAAACAAAGATAATATTTTAAATTTTTTAAAAAATAATTGTAAAAAAAATGATATTTTTTTGTCCCATTTTGTTTGACATTTAATATTTTGAGAAAACTTAAGAAATGTAATTAATATTTCTATAAAATTTATTATGTAATTTTCTAATATAATCATTATTTTTATATTAATTAAATTCTCTCATATTTTTTAGTTTTCTCTATAACAAATAGTTAGGAATATAATAAAAAATGTTTAATATTTCGCTAATATTAAAAAATAACAATCAAATTAAAATAGAAAGAAACAAAAATGACAAAATATCATACAAAAATTTAACGGAAAGAGAGAGTGATGATATGGCACGAAGGTTTATTATTTAACCAACATTTAAAGTTTGGTTCACTCCTTGAATGTTGTGAATTGTGCGACTAGAATATTATTATGATTCCCAGCCACCACCTTTACAGTCTGTTGTCCCATGTCAACACTCAATATATGCTTTCAACAGCATTATCATATCATATGAGCGTGGGAGCGAGGTGATCTCCATTGCTAGTGTTCCTCTTAAGCCCGAAACATATATTTAAAAACTTGTACGCAATGTCAATCTTTTATGTTTGAATCAAAACTTATCCGATTCTATTTTTTTAATTTACTTTTGGTTTATTTTATTTTATTTTTACTCGGGAAGGTAGGAGCTAGGAAGAGCACATTAGTAAATTCCAAAACAAGTTAATGATTTTCTTTTTCTATCAATTTAAGGACTAATATTTCATTTCAAAAGGAAATACATATGGATTACTAGCTAGAATTGACCGATAGCATGTTTGAGATTATAAGTTCAACTATATAATCATTGTAAAAAAAAATGTTGCTATATGACAATAATAATGTATGGTGATGAAGATGATGGTAGTGATGGTATTGGCAAAAGTGATAACTACCATCATAATCACTATTATTATTATTGTCATCATTATCATAGATTGATTTTGTCTTTGATGGAGGTTATAATCCTTGTTAAGTGTATTTTTTGATGTTGTATATACCATCGATAAATTATTTGTTAAGAACATGTTTACTAGGGTTTCTAGTAATCCTTGAAAATTTGTGAATTTCCAAGTAGTTTTAGACATGTGAAAACATAACCGTGTACCTGTGGTGTGCAATTATAAACACTAAATGTTGGGATAATTTTATGGTATTTGTCTGATGGGATATTTTATGAAGATTATTTTTATAAGATTATTAAACAAGCATACTCCACAATGATGAGATATTGTTCGCTTTGGACCTTAGTCCTCACGATTTTGCTTTTGATCATCATCCAAAAGGCCTCTCAATCATTGAAGTATGTTTGTGTTATATAAGTTGTTATTTCTTATTTTATTTTATCGATGTGAGACTTATTTGCATACCAACATTAAATAACCAAGAGCAAATTGGGCAATGGAGAGTAGAGAGCTTGGAGCAAAAGCAAATAGTGGATGACAATAGAGAGAGAAGTATGTACTTTGCCAACAACAGAGAGAGGGGAGAGTTGACAACAAGAGAGCGAGGAATCAATGGTAAATAGCAAGCAACCAAAAATGAATAGAGTAGAGAGTTGTGCGAGCTTGAGATTGAAGGGGTGGGGGGGGGGGGGGGAAAAAAA